ATCACATTGCACTTATCCGGGCCCCTACCCTGCTCTGCCTCTCCTATGAAGTCCCTTCCTACCACCGCCTGTAGATTTTTCAGATTGTCACTAGAACACGGGACATGCCTGGGACCGAAACCTTGAACTTTGCCTAGACACTGTGTTCTGCAGCATCAGGTCTGCCAGTGCCCTGTTGTTGCAGTGAGTTAGCCCAAATATGGAGCGTCGTTCACTCCTTTCAAGGCAGTGGGGTGTAGCGCCGAGGGCAGAGACTTGAACCTACACACCCACAGGCAAGTTACTTCCCTCTGGTTAGTCAGATTTTCTTCCAGGGAATGAGAATCCTGCAGGGAGGGCCACCTGCTCATCCACGGTGAAGAAGCCCAACCTACTTAGAAAACTAGGTTTTAAAAACCTTTGTCTGCTCTCCGCGTATTTGTAATTTAGAGTCAGTCCTTCATCCCTCATAGTGTGAAAGTGAATTTCTCTAATGGAGAAATCTTCATACGTTTGACTGGTGAGTGCTGCCTTAGGCTCCCTCCCAGGGGCATTCTGTAGTATTAGTGTTCTAAAAGAAGGAAAGGCTGGAATCTGCTGAGAGACCGTGGGCCTTGAGTAATTACCTTGTGAGGAGAATTCCTTCTGCGATGGCATGCATGGCATCTAGTGTAGCTGATGTTTTCCTGTGTCCCACCTGGCCCATGGTCAGGACAAATCTCTCTTACCCGCCAGTCCTGCAGCTTCTTGGACCCAAGTGAACACACACAGGCTTATATTAATTAAAACTGCTCGGCCATTAGTTCAGGCCTACCACTGACTAGCTCTTACATGTAAACTAACCCGTAATTCTTATTTATGTTCAGCCACGTGGCTTGGTACCTTTTCTCAGTTCTGCCTTCACATCTTGCTTCCTCTGTGCCTGGCTGGCGACTCCTGACTCAGCCTTCCTGTTCCCAGAATCCTCCTCTCTGTTTATCCCACCTATACTATCCTTCTTTTCTGGCTACTGGCCAGTCAGCATTTTATTTATTAACCAATCAGAGCAACACATTCACAACATACAGAGCGATATTCACAGCCATCTAGCCTGGAGCTGCTGCAGAAGGTATCTGTAAACGAGGGTTTCTTTGGGGAATAGTGGTCCGTGTCTCAAAGCATGTACTTCCAAGTAGCATTTGGAGCATGCTCTGTGAGGTGGGGATAACAGTAGAGCAAGGTTGCACATCACACATTGCAGAGAAAAGAAGAGACATGAATTTATGGATTGAATTCCATCATCTCTTGAGGACAAAACACTCCCAGAATTTGGGAAGCTTTATAAGAATCTGCCTGCCTTTGCCTCTTACTTGTTCTAAACCCAGTGGCAGCATCTATAGAACTGTTTTAGTTACCAGCAACTGACTGAAAATTTTACTGAGAAAACTACAGTTTTAAAGTAGTATCTGAATTTTTGATTTGAGGAGATATGAAACACTTGATAACTCCCAAATAGGTAATGGTTTTTCCATCTTGGACATGTCATTGACTTGATGAAGCTTATCAAAGAGTACTGGTATCCCAGCACTCAGGGAGGCTCCCTCGTGGCCTCCACCTGTCATTTAGTGCTTGTGACCTTTGGCATTCCCTGCCTATTCTGGTCCCCATCCACCAGCTGCTGGGTGTCCTCTCCATGTTTGCCTCTGTGTCCCCCCCATCCTAGGTTGGGGCTACATCATAACTCAATCACTTCTGCAGAGATCCTGTTTCCATATAAATCATCGTCATAGGTCACATTTAAGATCCCAGGCAGACAGGAATTTTTCAACACAATAGGAGACATAGTAATTGATGCGTAGCCAATGATGGCATATGGATTCCAGTATCCTACTGCTAGTGTCCACACCCTTGTTTCCTTATTTATTACCTATGTGACTTTGGGCAATTTAATTTCTCCATGCCTCCATTTCTTCATCTGTGAAATGGCAGTATATAGATGTGGGACATAAAGTAATGAATGTAAAACACTTAGAACATTAGTGAGTTCCAGCCCCTGTCTCTAATCCATACACCCTATTTTGTCTGCCTTCAGTCCTGATGTAGGTTTAGGAAATTGGTACCGATAGAACTTAGGGTAATGCTAGGTGCATAGAAAAGACCAGTGGTGTATATTGAAATATGGTTACCACAGCTGTTCAGCATTAATCAATATCTGCCAGCCTAGAGGTTTAAGGGGGTTAGACTTTCTGGATGATAATTTGTCTTTCACTGTCAAAGTGAAATTATTTTTCAGTAAACCAGGAGGAAGTGTGTTCATTTTGTTTGTGTCTGGAAGCACCACAGGAAGCTGTGACTGTGGTGATACTCTGCTGTGTGAACATCACTGAGGCACATCCACCCACCACCTGCATTATGTTTTAGAGACCAGCCTTTGACTCACAAGGCGCATGTGGAGCCAGTGCTCCATGTTAAATGCCCTACTGCCCATCTGGGCATTCTCTTCTACCTGAAGTTTTCTCTCAGTGATATCAGATGTCAACCATTGGCGATGCAGTTGGGTTGACAAGTTCCCTTTTTATAATGTCCTCTCCTCTGTCCTCAGAGTTGAGTAGAGCAGTGGGAGTCTCCTGGGACTCAGAAGCAAAAGCCACCAGAAGGTCAGAGAAAGGACGGTATGAAAAGCAGACTTCATAGATAGCCGATCCTCCCTCGCAACCAACATTTCCGACTTTCCTACCCTATTTTCAAGACCTAGGGTTGCCTTCTCGTCCTGCTGCTTAGGAAACCCTGGCCTGAGTCATTTGGTGATTTGTCTTTTCCAGACACACCTGCAGGTGGCAGAGTGGTGTGGGGATCCCCTCCCACCTTAGTGCCACGTTCCTGACCAGGCTCAGGCACTTCCCGTCGGCTCTGGTGTCCGTTGCTCCCCTCAAGCACCTTCCTTGTTACCTTTCTCTTCACTTTATAGCAGATCGTCATTTCTGTCCTGGTTTGTTTTAAATTAGGAGAGTAGAGGCTGCATAGGTGGGCATTTTTTTTAACCCTTGTATGCACTTGTACATACATATTTGTGTGACTTTTTTGAATCACATCTCCCCCTTTGCCACGTTTTTCTGCTTCCCCTCGTGACTAAACAGGTAAAGACTTGTCCGTACTCCCCAACTCTGTTCTTCGAGGCTCACTGCAGTGTGACTGATGGTCCCACCTGTCACTACTTTTGCTGAAATCTCCCATGGCTTCTTTGTGACTTACTCCAGCGAGTCCTCTTTGGCCTATGTGCTGCCATCTGGCACTTGGTGGCATGAGAAGAATTCTCTACCGCGTCTCATCCCTCAGATACCTGGTTCGTTCTTTCTCTTACTTTCTTTCTCTCTCTCTCTCTCTCTCTCTCTCTCTCTCT